GTTGGATGGTGTGTCCGCCTTCCCGACGTCTTGTTTCCGAATTGTCTCCCATTGTCCCCACATGTGTGCCTGTGTTGGATGGTGCGTCCGCCTTCCCGAAGTCTTGTCTCCCCTTGTCTCCCTTCTTATCTATCCTTGTCTCCGGTTGTCTCCACGTGTTTCCCATTGTCTCCCGTTGCCTCCAATTGTCTCCCCACATGTGCCTGTGTTGGATGGTCCACCTTCCCGAAGTCTTGGTTTTCATTGCCTTCCATTGTTTCCCTAGATACGTGTGACCTGTGTTGCGTGGTGCATCCACTTTCCCGAGGTCTTGTCTCCCCCTTGTCTCCCATTGTCTCCCTTCTTGTTTCTCTGTGTTGGATGGTGTGTCCACCTTCCCGATGTTTTGTCTCCTTTGTCTCCCAGCTTGTCTTCCTTCTTGTCTCCCAGCTTGTCTCCCAACTTGTCTTTCTTCTTGTTTCCCTTTGTGGTGGGTGGTCTGATTTTGCATTTTTTCAAACAGTGTACTGTTGGGGTAGGCTTTCTCAAGGTGTCCGCCTTGGTGTTGGATGGTGTGTCCGCCTTCCCGAGGTCTTGTCTCCTATATTGTCTCCCATTGTACCCCTTCTTTCTTATTTCCCTTTGTCTCCCATTGCCCATTGTACCCCTTCTTGTTTCCCTTTGTTGGATGGTGCGTCTGCCTTTCGGAGGGTTTTGTCTCCCTGTGCCTCCCATTGTACCCCTTCTTGACTCCCCTTGTTGGAAGGTGTGTTCGCCTTGCCGACGGTCTTGTCTCCCCTTGTCTCCCATTGTACCCCTTCTTGTTTCCCTTTGTTGGATGGTGCGTCCGCCTTCCTGAGAGTCTTTCCTTTTGCCGAGGGTCTTGTCTCCTTCTGTCTCCGCCTGTACCCCTTCTTGTTTCCCTTCGTTGGCTGGTGTGTCCGCCTTCCCAAGCATCTTGCCCCCCTTCTCTCATCTTCTCTCCACATTATCTCCTTTCTTGTCCTCCAAACAGTGTACTGCTCTAGGGGTTCTTAACGCATTCTTAAGGTGTTCGCCTTGGTCTTGTCTCCCTTTGTCTCCCACCCAATGTCTCCCTTCGTGTTTCCTTTTTGTTGGTTGGCGTGTCCGCCGTCCCGGTACCTTGTCTCCACTTTTCCCCCGTTGTCTCGTCCCCACATGTGTGCCTGTGTTGGATGATGCGTTTGCATTCTCGATGTCTTGTCTCTCCCTTGTCTCCCAATATTTCCCATTGTCTTCCCGCATGTGTGTCTGTGTTGGATGGTGCGTTTGCATTCTCGATGTCTTGTCTCTCCCTTGTCTCCCAATGTTTCCCATTGTCTTCCCGCATGTGTGTCTGTGTTGGATGGTGCGTCCGCCTTCCTGACGTCTTGTCTCTCATTGTCTCCCCACATGTGTGCCTGTGTTGGATGGCGTGTCTGCCTTCCCAAGGTCTCGTCTCCCCTTCTCACCCCTTCTGTCCCATTGAGCGCATTGTCTCGCATTGTCTCCCCACACATTTGCCTGTGTTGGATGGTGGGTCTGCCTTCCCGACGTGTTGTCTTCCCTTTTTGTCTCCCATTGTCTCCCCACATGTGTGCCTGTGATGGTATGTCTGCCTTCTCTGGCCTCTCCCTTGTCTGCCATTGTCTCCCACTGTCTCCCCACATGTGCCTGTGTTGGATGGTGCGTCTGCCTTCCCGAGGTCTTGTCTCCGCTTGTCTCCGATTCTCTCCCCACAATATGCGTTTGTGTTGGATGGTGTGTTGCAAGGTCTTGTCTCCCCTTGTCGTCTTCCATCGTTCCCTTGCTTGAATGGTGTGCCCGCCTTTTCAAGGTCTTGTCTCCCCTGGTCCCCCATGCTCCCCATTCTCTCCCATTGTCTCCCCGCATGTGTGCACCTATGTTGGATGGTGTGTCCGCCTTCCGGACGTCTTGTTTCCGAATTGTCTCCCATTGTCCCCACATGTGTGCCTGTGTTGGATGGTGCGTCCACCTGCCCGAAGTCTTGGTTTTCATTACCTCCCATTATTTCCCTAGATATGTGTGACCTGTGTTGCATGGTGCGTCCACTTTCCCGAGGTCTTGTCTCCCCCTTGTCTCCCATTGTCTCCCTTCTTGTTTCCCTGTGTTGGATGGTGTGTCCACCCTCCTTTGTCTCCTTTGTCTCCCAGCTTGTCTTCCTTCTTGTCTCCCAGCTTGTCTCCCAACTTGTCTTTCTTCTTGTTTCCCTTTGTGGCGGGTGGTCTGATTTTGCATTTTTTCAAACAGTGTACTGTTGGGGTAGGCTTTCTTAAGGTGTCCGCCTTGGTGTTGGATGGTGTGTCCGCCTTCCCCGAGGTCTTGTCTCCTATATTGTCTCCCAATTTGTCTCTCTTCTTGTTTCCCTGTAGCGGGTGGTCTCATTTTGCATTTTTTCCCAAACAGTGTACGGTTAGGGGTTCTTAATGCTTTCTCATGTCATGTGTTTGACCCTGTTCCTCAACACGTCTTGAATCCACCCACTGTTTGGGGTCTACGGTGGTGTAATGTTTGTGTTTCGCTTGTGTTTTTTTTTATGTATGTCAAAATCCTAAGATCTTATTTTCCCAGACTAAGATCTTAGACTCTTGCCTGACGCAAGTGCTGCGCAAACAAAACGAATGTCATACATATGTGAAACATGTGGGAGACATCAGTTTCACATTGGCTGCAGGTTTGTACCAGGTTTGGATTTCAAATTGGCAACTGCTTGACACAGGGGGGACGGCCAACTCATGTTTCACATATGTTGCAAATTTCACACACATGTTTTGCTTTATGTGTCACTTATGTTTCAATTATATTCCATTTATGTTTCGTTTGCGTTCCACATATGTTTCGTTTATGTTTCACATATGTTTTTACTTACGCCTAGACATAGTTTATGTTTACGTCATGCCCCGTCCACCCTCTATAGAAACCATCCCTGGAGCCCCTTTGGATCAAGCTAACCCATATGTGATTTTGGGGGTAATTTCACCTAGCCAACACTTATGCTGATGTAGTGGTGATGTTGTTGTGGATGTGGCAAACAAGAGTCAGTAGCAACCATCCAGATGAGTTCCACGGGATATGTCCCAGTCGTTAGGAAACAACATGATCAAATAATCCATTGGAATTGGGAGGTACAGGCCCATTTATCCCATTTTCAAAGCCAGAAGTGCTGGTTACCCGCTACCCGTGCTGGGTTACCCTCTACATAAAATCGAAATCTTTTGGCGGCACCTGCGGCGCATGCAGCTTGAAGGGCATTTCGGGTAATGACCTCAGATTGCTGGTTGCTTCACTGAAATCATGCAGAAAAAAAAGGAGCCATGGGGATTTCGTCTCTAAGCTGACAATGGAATCTCCAGACGGACGGATGCCTTTCCAATGGACGCTTTTTGGGACGGGTCAACACGGCAAAAAAAGTCCCATTGAGATGGCAAAAAATGGCGACCCGTCCCCGGGATTTCTCGTTGCCAAGGTATGTCTCTAGGTGAAGGGAAGATGTAATCTACGGCTTCAAGTCATACTTGCAAAGAAGAATTTCCTGGAACATGGTGAACAAAATCATGGATTCATACCAAGGCTATTCACAGTTTATAGTTCATCTCAATGAGATATGGGTCAACACTTTCCAAACCTGGCCAAACAAACAGTTTTAGCTAATCAACCTCAGGCCAACGACCCCATCCACTCACCTGAGATCAATCTCGTGGATGACAATGTAACCCATGGCAGTATTCTGGGCCATGGCAGTGAAGTCTGAATCGGAGGCGATTCGACGGCGTGTTTCCTGGTGTTTCCTCCAGTTGGACCCCGGGCATTTGTCTCCAGCATTGGAGAGAGCTGGGAGTAGAGGCTTAACCTTGGCGCATCGTGGCGGATCATGAAAAACCAAGAAACATGTGGAACTCCAAGGCCCCTGCTCAGCTACTGGCTGGGGGGTTTAGACTAAAGTTCTTCAACATATTTCAACATTTTGAATGAACTAAGTAGGATGTACCACATGGCCAATGAAGGACATTACTGGTATTACAAGACATGCCAACCCATCTATTCTGGACAACTGCACTTCAGGCGGGACCCCCCGGTCTGACTGCTGGAAATTGGCACTTTTGTTGACGGACATTACTAGCAAATTGGTAAGTTGTCGCTAGCCCAAATGTGGCGGCTGTCACACAACCTTGTGACTGGCTCAAATAGCCAGACCCAGATTTTCACAATGTCAATCCCGGATCAATCAATCCCTATTTGGAGCAACTTCCCTTTTTTAATCAACCAATGTTTATGAATCTGTTGGGTTGACAAACAAGTTTATCAGTTGGCTTGCACACCCATTCCGAGGCCGTCAGCGGCCAAAACCCTTCCAGACCTCCTATGGGATTGATGATGATGTGAAACCTCTGGTATGGGTTTGTCTGAAAATAGGGTGCCCCCAAATCCAATAGCGTATTTTCATATCATCATTTTCCGTGCTGCGGCAATTTGGGATTATTTGAGGGCATATTCCACTTTCAACCATACCCATTTTTACCCATTTAGCATATTGTTCGTTAGTTATATCCCATTGAATCCCCAAAGTATGTATGATTTTCCCACCACATCCCCAAAAAAAAGACCCAAAAAAAAGACCCTGATATATCCGCTTAGATTAGTCATTGATATTATTAGTAGTCCTTAATTCACTATCCACTAATTATAACTATCAGTTACCTATTCTATATCTAGTTGTGAGAGTCGGCAGTAGTCCATCTTCGTTCATCCCTTCCCGATCTTTTTCGGTCACACCCAGTCTGTACAAGGTCACTGGCTATGGCAGCGGCCGAGGGGTCCAAAACAGTCAGGGCTCACAAGGCATTTCTGTCTGATCCTTTTTCAGCTGCAAACATCAGAGTTTTCACCAGAATTCATCCAATTTCATCTTGAATGTCATGAAAAACAATGCAAAGTTATTATCAACATAACTCTTCAAGATCAAGATCTTCAAATCCTTTGAATCGCTGTTTTCAACCTCTTCAAATGCCTTCAAACAACCCGGCCAGTTCACAGCTCTCAGCCTCTACTGCCGGACGCGCCGTTGTCACCGCCCCAGTCCCGTCGTCGTCGTCGGCGTCGTCGTCGCGGAGGTTTCGCGGCGTCCCCGGCGGCGAGATGCAGATCCAGTGGCCCTCATCTCCAGCGTCGTTCAGAGGAATGTCCACCTGAGATCCAAATGGGATCCGTATTTTTTCCTTATTTTTGGGATCCAAGTGGCTTGAATTTCTATGAAATTCTGATCTGTTGACCATGTTCAAACATGATCAAACATGATCATGGCGTGGTTCATGGCGTGGATTCATCTAGAATTTTCTATAAGATGGTGCTCACCAGTGATTTTCTTGTTGCCAAGCAGTTCCTCAGACATCCACCGTCGTCGTTTCCACCAGGTGGAGCGGTGATCGCTGAAACTGGTTGGTGGTTGAGCCACCAACCCATCTGAAAAATGATGGAGTGAGTAACAGTTGGGATGATGACAATGATGACATTCCCAATATAATTATGGAAAGTCATAAAACATCTTCCAGTCACCACCAATCAGATGTCATAGCTTCAAACCCACCCCAGCTCTGAAGCCTAGCTGCCTCCACCTGTAGAAATCTGGCGACCGCATCGATCAGGTAGGGATTGCCACAGGCCAACGCGGTGATGGACCGCAGATGTTCCACGGCATTTTCCAAGGTCCAACCGGCCTCGCTGCACATCCAAACCAAGATAGCGGCAGCACTGCGGTTTTTGCCTTAGATGAAGGGAGAACATGGCATTTTAGCTGTAGAATCCATTAGAATCCCTTGGAAACTGAGAATGAAACGCAAACATATGGACATCTTGAGAGGATGAACAAATCTCCCAACAAAACCACCAATTTTGGGGGCTTTCCATGGCGTTCTTGATGAGTTTTGAGGGATCTGGAGGTGACCTTCCACTCTGAAACCATGGGGCCACCCCTTTTGATCCCCTATAACTTGGAATATCCGCAATGCCCTGGAAAGTCTAGTTGGAACCATTGTCCTACGAACCACTATGCAAGTGGCCTCACATCCGTTTGTTTTCGAGAAAGTGGCCATTTCAGGTCAATCAGGTCCTTCATGTTTTCCAAGCCCCATCCATCCAGGCCCCCCCAGCACCAAGGGACCCATCTGACAGCTGACGTTCACCTTGGCCCCCTGCGGTCGTAAGCTTCGCAAAAGCTCCAGGGCTTCGCCCAGTTGCGCGGACCATTCCTCCACGCAGCCCTCGTTGACTTCCTGTCTGGTGGCAACGGATTTCCCAGTGGATTCTGACGGATTCTGATAACTTCCAGAGATCTTGGATAATATTGGATAGTAGCCATAGAATCATCAAGGTACATGGCTTTTGACAACTGATCAACTGGAAGATCCCAGCCGGGATGATCCAACTATTGAAGCATCAAACATTGATAGTTGGGTTATCCCAATACTTGGGATATCAACTATAGTCATAACTACCCTCTGGTAAGCTGTCCCATAACTATGGAAAATCACAATTTTTAATAAGTAAAGCAACTATAAATGGGCCATTTTCAATAGCTATTTTGACATAACCAGAGGGTATTCTTTGATAACCAGCGATGTTCGATGATTTTGATGATCTCAAATCTCTAGTGATATCACTACTTTCGTTAGCAAACACTATATCTGGGGAAGGTTCGTCTTGTGATGCAAACTTCACCAGGCCAGACGCCAAAACATGTTCATCAAACTCCTGGGAGATCCAGACTCCAGACCAATCTTATGGATGTTGGTTACCATCTGGTTATTTAACATAGCCATGGAAAATCCCTTATAAATGGAGGTTTTAATGGGAAACTCTTCTATAAATGGGCTAGTTTCCATGGCTATGTTAAATAAGCAGAGGGTAGGTCAAAAACACATGATGCTTCAAAAAAAGGGGCAAGATGAACATCCACAGCTACATTTGTAGCTGTGATGTGAACACCAGAGCACTGATCAGGTTCCGATTCAGATCCTCATTCTGTTGACTCAAAATCAATTGGTGCTTCGGACCCAAATGGTTGGCACTGAATTCACATCATGTCTAATAAGTTTGTTTGCTAAACATGGGTAACGAATGAATATCAGCAAATTCAATCCTCACTTTGATATTCATCCTGAATGTGGTTTTCACCAAATTTATATCCTACCAGAATCTCTCAGTAGCTCCGTGGCTCCCAATTTACGACAGGAAACAAAAACCATAGCTTCTTAGCTCCCTCTTAAACACTGGAAAGTATCACCAGTGGCGTTTGTGATAAATTATGTTAATGATGTATATAAATATAATGATACTTATGTTAATGATACATGACCTTTATATATTTATGATATAATTAATGATATATCACCACTGGAGCCTTCTCGTTGCTGAAGGCATCTCGCATGGGAACGTGCAACAGCGGCGGCTGGTCGCTGCCGGAAGGAAATTTCTTGACGACTTCCGCAGCCATGTTCCTGATGGGAACCAGTTGGGGAGAAAAAAATGTCACCCCACATGAACAATACATTACTGGTTGGTGGTTTCAACCCCTCTGAAAAATATTAGTCACATGGGAATATGATTCCCAATATATGGAACAATAAAATTCATGTGCCAAACCACCGACCAACCAGATTAAATTCCAGGGTGTATTATCTATCCCAGATCTTTTTGGGCCAACCACTAATTTACGGTCTTTAACACCTTTAAATCCACAAAATCTGCAGATATTCATTGTGCATAATGGCAAAAAAAACAAACACACCTGTTTAGTGCTTGATTTCAGTGAAACCAAGGGTTTGGCATGGGGAAAAATAAACTCGGATGGGAATAGGCAAAATCGGAAAAATACACCAGGTGAGATCCTGATTCAAAATTGTTGCGGCTTGAAGTTGTTGGACGTACCAAAACTCTCTTAGCCGATTTAAACCAGGGAGAAAGTAATGCTTGCGAGTCATCTCCATGTGCTGGACAAACAACAACTTCTGTCTCTGAAAATTGAGGTCAATCACTTTAAGCGGTTTAGCTTGGGGGCCTTCATCAATGGAGTTCAGTTTTTTTGGTTCATTTTTTTGGGTACCCTCTGGTAAACTGTCCCATAACTATGGAAAATCACCATTTTTAATGGGTATATCAACTATAAATGGGCAATTTTCCATAGCTTTTTGTATGTTTACCAGGCCGGGTCAATTTCATGAAATGTGGCCATTGATGCTGCCATGCATGCCATGCTGCAAGCGATGGGTGATCCCCAGCTCCAGCAATTCGTAGGGCCGCGCGGCCGTTTGGAAGTCGCTCCACCACAGGCCCAGGCTGCCGGGAGCACCCCCTGGCTGGAAAATCCCGCCTGGAAATGGAGGATTTCTCTATCAATGGCCATGTTTGATTGGGAAAATCCATGGTTTTCATTGGCAAAAATTCATCAATGGTGGATTTCCCATTGCGTTGATGACTGAAGGAGAACTGCTTTGAACCATGCATCGACATGTTTTACCCCAATCGCGACCCATACCCCCCATCTCATCTACAGTTGATTTTAGGGAAAATGGCCAGGAGTCTTACTCATTTCCAATTATTGATAGTTAACCGATACCCAAGTATTGTCTGCTAGTTTTTACATCTCATGATCCAATTTTATCGGTGGCTTGATTTATTGGTTAATTATTTTGTGTGCCTAATGATCAATCTACTGTTGGTGAAACATGATCGTTATCGGTGAATCATTATTGTTGGTTCATAATTGACATTATCATCCAATAATAATCAGTTTTGTTAGGATTGGATGATTGTTATCTAAGTATTGGTTGGTATTCAATGTATGCTTAACATAGTTCAATTTCCTATGTCAACTAATCTCCAAGTGGTATTGGTGGTTTCTCTATAGTTGTTGCTTAATCATTAAAATTTAAATAATGATTCTCATCATTGTCCGATAACAAACACAATTCTTGTTATTCCTGGACGATTATCGTTTAATTATTGGATATTATTCAATGTTTGGCTTAAATAGCTAAATTCCACCCAAATCCACCAAGATCGAATATTTTCACCAAACTCCACGAATATCCAAATTGGCGTTTCATGGGTTTCCCTGGAACTACAGCTTAACCGTTACTATTCGCTAATTATTATCATTTGATTTTGTAATCATACGATCAACTCCCACCATTTGCCCCGCTTCTGGAAGAGTTTGACGGGATCATTATCATCATTATCATCAACATCATTATCATCATCATCATCATCACCATCAACAACAACAACGACAACAACATCATTGGTATGATCATCGTCTTCTTCTAACAGAATCCTTGAAAATTGGTTCAAAATGCGCAGTTCCAGCACTTTTGGTTGCATTAACAGTTCAAACAGAATCCTAACGATCCGTTGCAAAATGCACAGTTCCAGCAATCTTGTTAGAACGAACAGCTCTAACAGAATCCTAGCAAATTGCTGCAAAATGCACCCACCCCACCCCACCTTAAACCGTGACGATTAGATCATCTTGGGCGCAGACAAAATTTGGTGCAAGGTCGAATAAGCGTTATCATCCCTCCACCCCACCCCACCCCACCCCATGGCATCGGCATCTTGTGCAAAGTTGAGGCAACGTGGCCTAAGGAACGTTGACATCCCCACCCCACCCCACCCCATGTGAGCGTAGCATCAACATCTTGTGCATGGTCGAGGGAACATGGCCGAGGAAACGTTAACATCCCCACCCCACTCTATTCCACCACACCCCATCCTACTCCATGTAAACTGTGGGGCAAATGGTGGGCGTTGCGTCTAATCATACTATAATCATTCACCGACAATAATTCTGGTATTTCCCGATATTTTTTCCATATAGTTCTTAGTTTCCCTATAGTGATTCACCAACAATCATGTTCATATTTTATATCCATATGTACATATAGTTCTCAATTTCCCAGCTTTTTGACCACCTTCCGGATCCCCATGGGCCAGGCGCCTTCCACGACACAGCGCGGCCCCAGTGGCGCGCCGTCCCCCGACGCTGCGCCGCGCAGCTTCCCCGCGGCCTTGGGCGGCGGGATGCCCAGCGCGCCGTCGGCGGCGCGGAGGATGGCGGCGGTGTAGAGATATCCTTAACGGCGAAGGGACACTATAGATATATTTAACGTGTATATATAGATATACATGTATTTGTATTATAGTTTCTATGAACATATATGGGTATGTCTATAGAAACTATATAGATCGTATATTATGGCCTGTATAAATATAGGAATATATATATTAGCTAAACTCAAAAACTCGCTGCCGTGGATATGTTGAAAACCGCACGAGGGGTTAGCGGGGGGGCGAACGTAGGGGCGAACATGCGGGCGAACGGGTGGACGAACGTCGCCCGCACGAGCGAGCGGGGGGGGCGAGCTGGGGGGCGAGCGGACGGGCGAACAATTCGACTAGTCTTGTTTTGCCTGGTGATAATTAGTACAGTCAACCTGTGCCGAAATTATTGTACACCTACTATACAACCCAAGAATAAGGTACAAAGTTGTTGGTATTCGAAACCCGTGCAATTTTGAGGGCGGGCCCACCCCCTTGAGGGCGCATGAAGGGGTCGCACGAAGGGGTCGCACATACGCATGTACGCACGCACGTTCATGTGCATGTACGCACGCACGTTCACATGCATGTTCAGAAATAAGGTTACCTTTAAGGTTACCTTTTATATAAAAGGTAACCTTATTTCTGTACGACCCTAAGCCTCCTAAAGCATATTTAGTATTAGGAGGTCGCTTTTCAAAGGTAACCTTATTTCTGAACATGGGTCTGAACATGGGCTTGAACATGGGTCTGAACATGGTACCTACGTACGTTTATACGTGCGAACGTACGTGCGTACGTATGTGCGTACGTGTGTGCATGTGTGTGTGTGTGCGTGCACGTACGGCGTATGTACGTGCGTACATTCGCCCACGTTCGCCCCCACGTTCGCCCCCCCGTTCGTCCCCCCGTTCGCCCCCCCGTTCGCCCCCCGTTCGCACGTTCGCACCCCTGCCGTACCCTCGTTCAGATGGCCGTACGCCCCCCCACGTTCAATACGTCTAAATAACTTCAAAAACAGGCGGCAGCGACCTTTTGGGTTTAGCTAATATATATATATTTACAATATTTATATATTTGGTAAATATATATATACATATGTATGTATGTGTATTAGTATTCATAGATAGATATATGAATGGCGGACAAAATTACTTTTTCATTTTCATGCAGCAAATTGGGGTCGTTCCCTATCGTTAGTGAGGACCTTGATCCGTTGGGGATATAGTGACAATACTGGGATTAATATGGATTAATGGGATCATAATCGGGTTCAAAATGGGGTTGATTGTTTCACCAGGAGATTCAAGATGGATTCGATAAAAAGGCTAATGTGGAAGATGATTTCATAGCAGTACGGCGAATTATAACATATTGTAGCTATGAGGAAAAAGGCGGCAGTGGGATACAGTGCGGTATATTCGGAATGGTTCCATCTGTGGAGTTGAAATCCCAAGTGGGATGTCTTGGGGGCTTAGATAATGATGCTAATAACATCTAATAACCCAGATAATGAGGTAAATACCTGTGATAAACCAACTTTGACCAAAGTATGAACTTTGAACTTGGGGATGCTTTCATGGCTTACCCTATTTTGGGTCGCGTCATGGTGGGAAACATGACCACACTACAAATCAAATCCTTGAGCGATGATTTGGGGTAAATCAAAGTACAAAACTATCAAGTCTGCAGATAAATCTTGGTTTCCAAGATCCCCAAATTGAAAAATACAGGGAATTCCCACCAGTCAAAAGCTTAAACAAAAACAATTGATTGCAACCTCCGAAAAAATCAATCCATCAAAATTCCCCAGCTAGCCTTTGGTAATTTTACGTAGCTATGGAACACCACAATCATATGCAGCTCATCAAATTAGATGGGCCGTTTTCATCCATTTTCCATAGCAAACTGTCAAATATTTCGGCGACTCCAATTCTCCATCCTCCATCGATTATATATTGCTGGTTATACCGCAGCCCGGGTTTTACCCTTGTTAATCATACACTGTATATGTTTTACAGGCAAACCAGCCCACGAAGTACAGCAATTAGCACTTGTTTTCTTGAGCCAGCCACACAACGCAGTAAGAGCATAATTACAGTATGTACAGGAATATTTACAAGAAACACCCTCCGCCGCCCGCAGTTGCGCGGAGGACGGAAGGTAAACACTGTCCAGCATGTAGTGACCTAAGCGTGGACAGGAGATCAAAGACATCACTGTACATGATAATCTCAATACGTTGCATGGGAGTGGTCATAGCTGGGATGCATGAGGCAAAAAAGCATTTTCATCCAGGGTATTGCAAATCTCGGGCAGACACAAGAGTGTAGTTGGCCTGGCTTCCGCCAAGGCATAGGAACATTACTATTCCTTTCATTGCCATTGGTTTCGGAAACTTCTTTAACAGGCTAACCTACATGGCGACTGTACAATCACAATTGCAAAAGTCTGGATCGGATGTTAGTGTCAAACTCTTTGGAATCAACTGAGAAACTTTGGAAATGATTTGAAATTTCCATCTTGGAGTATTGTTGCAAGTCGATTGAAATGGTTGATCATAGATCATTCTTCCATCCAATCGGCCGCACCTTCCGGCAGGTATAAACTCACGGCATAAAGGTGAAACACCTACCATGGTTCATACTCAATCGTCCCGTCGGTGAAGGTGCGCTTGTGCTGCGGCATCCCGTCAATCTCACAGTACCTCGCTCTTGATCAAGGCTGTTCTCAATTCTTGCTGAGGGACCTCTGCCGGTGTTGGCTCAGCCGCTGCAGCTGCAGGTGCATCAGTGGAGCTTCCCACTACCTCAGGCGCTGCAGAATCATCGGCCGGTGCAGGCGTACTTGGAGGACGAGCTGGCTCCCGAGGAGAGGCAGCTGCTGTAGATCGCCCCGTTGCAAGAACGTTCTGCATGAAGCACCAATGACGAGCAGCATGAGGCCAGTGCCAGTGATTCAAACCTGCTTGAAGCAGATTGACACGTGTTCCTTCTAAGACTGATAATTTAACCGCTCTTTCAGCTTGGGCATTGGACTTTGAGATGTAGTCTCTACTTAGGACGTGACGGCACTGAAGTATCTTCATGGCTGAAATCAGTTCCGGCGCATTGTCACTGTAGAAAACTCCAATTTCTTCAGTATGTCCAACGAAGTGTTTGATTGCCAGGACAGTGGCATTGGTGGTTCGCCTTGCATTGGGGTACACGTACATAAAACCAGTGGCTATATCTTTCACGACGAGTGCGCTTTTCTCATCATCAATTCCCAGTTCATCCTCATCTCGGGTTACAATGAAGTCTGCTGTGATATGGTCCCCGAACATCTCAGCCTCAACTTTGGTTGACCCGCCAACAGCTCTATAGAGGGTGGCTTAAACATCTTAGCCTTCTGGCAAAATGTCGCAGTATGGGTTCTTTTGCACATGAGTAAGCATATGTTGGATAGATTTGGCTTCTTCCCTCAAAGCTTTCTCGCCAAGTGATCTTTTGAAATCATCTTTATCCTCGTGAACACTACTGCAGCTACCCTTGGATTTCTGGTCGACAGGCGGCTCAACCTTCCGGTCGGCATCAGGATCCTCAACCGCCTCAGACAACACTGGCTGGGGCTCTGGAACATCGATGGGTTCATCACTAATGATTTCTATTTCCCCATCGGGCTCCGGAGATTGTTGGTCTTCTTCTGATGCCGGGGTTGCAATACTTGGTCTTGGCTGAGTGGATGGAGTGGAAATTGTTTTCGACTTGTTTGCAAAGTAGGGTACGTAATCACAGACAACGAACTCAATGCGTTCCCCATTTGGTTTTACCATGTATGGAGGTTCACCTTTGGAGCCCCTCCAGACAAAGTCATAGCCGTCTTCAACACATCTCATTCCAACCGAAATCACAGGTGGTGAGCTCCTAACAAGATATGGGTCAATAGTTTTCCCCAACTTCGGAACGAACACTCTCCCTTGTTTTGATGATGATCTCTCACCGTTGGCGGTGATCATGCGAATCGGATTGTCGGAGTAGTATCCATAATCGTCGGGTAACTCACTATCATTCACCAGATCTTGAGCACTACCGGTATCTGCAATCCAGTCAAGATTGAGATTGATCGCTCCCTTCACATCCTCTTTACATTCCGCAGGGGTGGCAGGTGGCAGTGATTCCCTTAGGGATACATTCGTTGCAACCAAAATCGGTGTCACATAAACAGGCACATTTGCATTGCAAACCCTGAAGACAATTGGAAACTGAACCAGCCAACATGGTGCCTACCAAAGCGGCATCCCTTGTAGCATTTTCATCTACTTCAAATCTGTGTCCCCATGGGAAGGTTTCCTTACCCGTGGTGACCTGGTTTCCAAGTGGCCTCAAGTTCCCTCGAGCTTTGACAAGTGTCACGTCCGGAGATTCATCAAAACGAATCGATGGACAAAAGACTCTCGGCTGAGGGATGCATATGGCCTGGGACACGGATGCAAGCATGGATGCAACAAGGCAAACAGCGGCAGGTGACGGCTTGGAGGAGCTGGCCCCCGATCCTTTGGATTTTGGCGACTTAGGGCTCTTTGGGCTCTTAGAGCTACGGGATCCCTTCCTTTTCGAGTTCTTGCCGGTCTTCTTTTTATTTTTAGAGTCGCCACTAGCCGAACGGGCAGGAGTGGCTTGTCTCGGTTTGCCAGCAGAACCCTCATGAAGGAAATTGCAACCAGCTCCCCTGTCACAACGACCCTGTTTCCAAACCTTACAAATTCTTTGCCTTTCCGTTCCCCTTTGGTTTGGGAGATCCAGAACGATCAGTTGAACGACCTCTGGTCTTGCTTGGCTTTCGACCTTTGTCTCTTGGTTTCGGGTGTCATGCTTATAAGTACAGTTGTCTTTGCTACAGCCCCACCTGTGATGATATTGGTAAGAGCAGATAGCAGCTTAGCATCTAATGTCGCAAACGGCGCAACCTTCCGGAGCGCTTCAAGTGTTTGATCTTCTTTCCAAGATTCGCTAACCCACTTGAATGCACTATCGGGATCAGTTGATGCAGCCACTACAGCCTCACGGGTCTTGATTCTCCAATTGCTGTAGGTTTCGGCCAAAGGAAATGCAGGAACCTTAATAGTGTCAGCTTCCTTGACTTTGGGCTTATCGTCACTTTTCTGGTCAACAGTACCGCCTAAGAATTTGATCATTCTGCGTCGGAACTTTTCATCATCATCTTCTTCATCCCTGTCAGGGCCGTTACCATCGTCATCATGACCATCAGGGGGACCAGAGCCGCCTTTGGGCTTGGCGCATCCCGGCCCTTATCCCTTGAATCGCCCTCATGTACCGCCCCCTCCTCCGTTGTCATCCCCTCCGTCCCCTGGGTCATTGCCTCCCGGGGCATCGTCGTCTCCCGGCTCGTAGAAGTCCATGTCATCGGCTCCTATCTCAGACGGGGAAAACGTTGCGTCGGGCCGGGTGAGTTGCCCCTTTGGTTGGAGTGGATCCCACCGAAAAGATTGGCGGCCGCTCCTCCCGAAGGGCGTGATGCATTCGAAGACCTATTAATGCCTGGTTCCTTCTTTACTGGGATTGGACCTGAGCAGTTGGCATTTTGGGAGTCGGAGGAAAGTTCGTTTTCAGAGGTGGCGCAGCAGGAGCTGCCTTGGAAGTCGGACAAATTCGGACCCTGTTGCGGATGATGTGAAAGCCTCTGCAGTTGTAGTCATAGCAGCAGTCTCGACGACCTGAGCTGGACGCGCCTGGGCAAACTGGGAGTCAAGCATACTCTGTAATTTGAGATTGTGTTGCATTTGCGTCTGAACCATTTGTTCAAGTTGAGTAATGCGATCATTCTGAATACGCCTTTCCTCCTCAGCTTGCCTCTTCAATTCAAGAATCTCTTGTTCTTTAATGGAAAGTGACTGTCGATGATTGGCATCGATGACACGTTGATATGCCTGAATTTTCTCACTCATTTGAGCTTCTTGGAACTTTACATGTTGGTGTGCCTCATGCTTCAAATTCTCTCGAAATTGGACTCCCATTCTGTTCATTTCATGTTCTTTGGCGATCATAGCATCTTGGGCCCTCTGACTTTCAATGCCCTCACGAACTCGTAACGCTTCCACAAGTTCCTCAGTCCTAGCCATATGGACGGCTTCGGCGTGGGCTTCGGCCTTAGCTAAGACCTCACGACGACGGAGCTCGGCCGTTGTTTCCACAAGGCTTGTCAGAGCAGGGTCATGCGAATGCAGGTGAACATTTTGCTCGACAAAATTGACTTGAGGATTGTCACCTTGTACATTTCGTTGATAATCTGATACGAATTGCGAACATTCAATTGGTTCATTGGACGAGTCGGTGGCCCACCCTCCCGAGGGGCTTGGGGGACATAACCACGATGAGTAAATCCAACATGAGAAGGCACAACTGCGTTCCCCAATGGAGGTAAGTGGCGTCGTTCCCTCAAGCACTAAGACTCATGGCTGGAAAGCTTCCCAGCGTGTAACTGCCTACATTTGGCTTTCGCAATGTAGCTAGCGCCTTCTTGCCTTTTTCTTCGGCATGCAAAACATGGTTGCAAGATGCACACCATTGTAAACTTGTAAAATTTACTATATTGTTACGGAAGGCGGCGCAGCATCACACCTCTGGAGCTAAAGCTGCAACGGCCACAAGGATTGCCAAAAGCACAGACCTTACACCAAGAAGCGAGCATGCGGGCGAGCACAAAAGGCATATGAAACCTAGAATGCATACACAAGGCATACTCACGCATATGTTGCATCTCTGGTCTCGCGCTGTCTCTGCACACAGACTGTGCCTGGCACGCGCGGCCTGCCAGATGTTTTGATACCAAGGTGCTAGCGGCCATGTCACGCACAAAGCATCAGCCAACGGCCCCATGGCTTGAAACACATGTGGAAGGAGCTGCTGGAATTTGCGTGCCGCCAAGTCTGGGCAGGCGCGGAAGGCGCGCAGAACCTCTTCTTGGTCCAGCTTCTTGGGTGCCATTGCGCACAGTGGCTACGATTCCCCAGCTGGAAGATTTGCTTTCTGTGCTTGATCGCCAAGGAGCTATGATGCGACATGCCACGGATAATCGAGCTGGCTCATCCTTGTAGCCTATAATGCATTTTATCTATATATAGCCACCTTCCTTTCATCTGACTGGCCGGGTTGCAACCCGGCAACCCGGCGCACCTGTACACAACGATTGCTGCCACCGATCGATGGGCATGCCCTGTTTCATTGTCATACACCACGTTCTGCGACATGTCATGCGCATCGCACCTCTGCAGGAATCGCTGCTGCCGGAGGCTGCCGCTACCACGCCAAGTCGCTGCCCCTGCATCTGTTTTCATGCAGAGGTCTCAGCACAGCGGAAAAGGATAGAAACACAAGCAGCTGGGTCTGGAGTCACTGCAACAAAACACATGCAAGGAAACAAATGCCAAACGTGCAGCCAAACAGATACCTAGTACCAAGGCCACATGATACATTCCAATTTTCTCAAAACCTGGAGGCAAGAGTGGGGCATGGCTACCTTCTTGTAAGGGATTGCAATTGGTACATACATACACACATACACACATACACACATACACACATACATACATACATACATACATACATACATACATACATACATACATACATACATACATACATACATACATACATACATACATACATACACACACACACAGACAGACAGACAGACAGACATACATACATACATACATGTGTCTGGACAACTTGTGTCAGCTGCAACCCGACCTGAAACATTCGATAGAACTGCGCGACGAAGAACCAAACTTAAACAATACTCTCAGTGGCACACATAGGTTGCACAGTGGCCATGTGCAAACAGGGACTCACTGCTAGCAACATACTGGCGTATTTCCGCCTACTAACGGTTTCCTCTGTCTCCTTGCGCGGAACTCTGTTGCAAGAACCTTCTGGTGCCTGCTGTCGCTTCTGTTTCAGGAGAAACTTTTCATAGGCGTGAACAGCTGACTTTGGCACTCCAAACCCGGCAATCCACCATGCAGATGTTTGATACTCCATCCTGGGGCCATCTGACGTCGCCGTGTCTAAACATGGCAGACTAGATTTGCTTCAGCACAAGGCGGTGGCGGAATTACCCCCAACAACACCTTTTGACTTTTTTCATACGTATCAGATATTTAGGTTCCTATGCACTTCTTTCTTGCTACGCATTGCGGAGGGGGGCCCTCCCCCCTGCACCCCCCCACCCGCTTTTATTTTATCCTTTCATTTTTTGATCGGCTCCCCTTGCTACCTACTCTTATTCCTTTTTGTCGCTTCATCTTATCTGCAATGATATCCATCGAGCCTTGTGCCTACCAACTGCTTCCTTGGTACGCATTGCGGGGGAGGCGCTGCGCGGTCCCCCCTGCACCCCCCCACCCGCTCTCATTTTTTAACCGGCTTCCCTTGCTACCTCCTCCTATTCCTATGGATTTTTCCATAAGCATCAATTATTTGGGTTCCTATGTCCTTCTTACTTGGCCCGCATTGCCCGTGTTTACTTTTAACCGGTTCCACTTGCTAGCTACTCCTACGCTTTGTTTTTTCACGTGCATCGTTTCTTGGGATTCATCTGATCTTTATTGATATCTATCGATGCTGGTGCCTATGTGCTTCTTTCTTTGAGTTCACCTGGAAGAACCCGAGGGGGCAGACATTCCTACCAAGGAGAGTGGTTACGATACGGCTGATAACCTGTTTTACAGGCAAACCAGCCCACAAAGTACAGCAATGAGCCAGCCACACAACGTAGTAAGAGAATAATTACAGTATGTACAGGGATATTTACAAGAAACAGTATATATAAATTACACACATATCCCAATGAGTATCTCCATGCCCATGTTTGTTGGTTAAATCCCCATTGAATCCTAAGGAATCCCTTTTTTAATCCCATTAAAACAGCAAAGGGTACTCCAATTATCGATTATTGACCATATTAACCATTGGCAACTCATTTCAATTCCCCCTCCAAAAATCCCATTACTACTGGTAAAGCGGCGAAACTGAACATCTCCCCTTTTTTATGATTTTCCGACCCGATAACAGAGGTTGATCCCCCATTTACCCTCTGGTAAACATACAAAAACTTATGGAACATCACCCTTTTTAATGGGTAAATCGGTAAATCCACTATTTCTATGGTCATTTTCCATAGTTATGTCAGAAATTACCAGAGAGTAGTTCGATGACTTCTCCATTTTTTCACACCTCCATTTTCAATATCATTGGATTGGTTTAAGGGAAAAATTACAGGGAAGCCCCATACTTAATGGAAAAATCTATGGTTTCCTGTAGATTTTCCCTTAAACCAATCCATTTTCAATAGCTATGCGTCCGTTGGCCGCGTCCTGTCGCACTTCAGCACAGTTGGAGCCGGCGATGTCCTGCCGCAGCCGGGCCCGTAGCGCCACGGCGTCGGCAGCGCATGGATCCTCCCTGGGGAGATATGGGCCATGGAGGTGTAAGATGTGGGTAAAACATTGGCAGTGTTGGAGATCTATGGCTTAAAAGTATATATATATATATATATATATATATATATATATATATGTATATATGTAAATACATAATATTATTTTATATATATACATTATAATTGAGCATTCACTATATCATATTTCTTGGTGAAGAACTTCACCAACTTTTTTCGGCACGTTGGTCGTCAACCGAGCCACGACAGTTCCTGAAACCAGGTTTTGGCGACTTCTGAAGGTGCAGCATGCGACTTGAAGCACTGCAACCATAGCGGCTCCGCCATGGATTGGGCAATGATGGTCGTTTTTTGGAGGTGGAGACTCTGGAGACTTGTCGATTTTCTATGGGATTTTCTATCTCTTCGGTTTGTTTGAGATCCGGTGCTAGTTCCACTCATGTGTTTTTTTTTCTTAGTCATCATTTTTACTCGTGATAATGTATGGGCATGGGATGATTTACCACACAAAAGTTCTCAATGTGGTCATAGTTGCCATAGTTTCCCATAGGTTCTCAATTCATGATTAGCCATATCAGTCTTGGTTTGTTTTTTATGCTCGTTTTACCAATCATCCTTTTGCTCGTTGCGAGGCTCGGGATCGACTGTTGGTTGGACTCATCCCAGTGCTTCCAGAATGACAACAATAAAAGCACTGTTGGAAAGTTGGAGAATAACATGAAATAACAGTGAAACACATTACTAATATGTGAAACAAAATTCAGAAGAAATGTGAAACACAAATACTGAAGTACTGAATATGTGAAAATGGCATTTCAAAAACGACTACTTTAACCACCAGTTTGACTCTAAAAACCATGGGATTGGTGCTAAACAAGCTTTGGCTGTTTGCGGCTTCGCAGCTCAGGCGAGTGAGTCAAGTGATCCAAACAGCCGGATGTACCTCGAACTGCCGGACGCAGTGCCAGGTCAAACCCTGGGAATGTGCTGATTTGGAGAGATGGGAGGCCGCTGCAATAGCAACGCAGGATATACAGCTACGAGGTGACAGATTCTGATTCTCATTGTTGTTACACTCCAGTTCACCGCTTTCCCCTTTTTGGGCCGTCCTGGGCTCCCAACGCCTTCTGCCACCGTTCCCCCAGGCCATAGCTGCGCAAGGTTGATGTCAAGGTGGTTGCCTCACTGCGCCCACAGGAAACCCCAACCCCAGCTGCACATTTATTGGGATCAAGTTAAGGCCCAGAATGTTCCTACAGTAACCAGATAACCAGAATGTGACTCATCATTTGTTTTTGACGGAATTTAAGGTTCTTCAAACTAGAAAAATACCGCAAGATTTCCTAAAGAAATGAAGCCATCGATCCGACCGTGGTCATTTCTAGGATTAGCCTTTTAGTTTTAGGGGTACAAGTACCCAATTAGAACTCATACCCATCTTGAGCGGGCATTCTCACCCACAAAACAAGGATCCAACCCACAAAAACTTCGGACATCCGGACTGATTCACCACGGTGTTCTACCTAAGAACTTTGGGTTTCACCTACTTTTCGACTAGGGTGAATTAACAGTGTATTCCAGTATGCAGACATAGAATGCGCACCAAACTTATCATTGAATAATTGGGAACATCATCTAAAATATTCTAAAATACGACAAACCGTTGGATTTTTAGGATTTCCTCTCGGGTAAACTAACATGCCAAACTGAGAGGGCAACGGACAATTGCTCATTTCTATCCCTACGATGACGATGATTTTCCCATGCGAAATGGTGACTTCACATTGCTGACCCATGCCCGGCATTTGTTGGTCCCGACCCAGCCCATCCAAATCTTTATTGACTTCACTTCCATTTCTGACGTCACTCTACATCATTCCCATATCTTGTTGCTTCACATAACGGTTCTGCTATCACAGACCAACCAATAGTTACCCTCTGGTAAACAAACATAGCTATTGAACATGACCATAGAAATAGTTGATTTACCGATTTAGCCATTAAAAATGGTGATTTTCCATAGTTTTTTGTATGTTTACCAGAGGCTAACTTTTGGGTGAGTCGAATGTAACCAGAAATTTTCCATGATGGTCCCCAATGATGAGCCCGACCCATGAATTTCCGACTTGGCACTGTGGGTTGAAGGTTTTGGCAAAGGCTGCTGTACAGGATGAGACTCCTAGGTCTGTAGCTTTTGTGACCGGTGACCTATCGACACATCACATGAGACATGTCATGTATCTAGAGTAGAAGCGACTTTTACAGAACTAGGCACAGTCAGGATACGTGGAGTAACCAAAGGCTTGTGTGGTTCGTGTTTTCAAATACCATCTGGTAAACTAACATAACTATGGAAAATCACAATTTTTAATGGGACAACTCACTACAACCGGGGTATTTTCAATAGCTATGTTAAATTACCAGAGGGTAACCGTGAAACAGGGCTAAGAATTCATGCTCTTCTCTGAGGCAGTGAGGAAAGCTGGCACAACATCCCAGGATAGTTGCAGGCACCCAGCTGATTTTTGGAGGATATGGTATGTGCTGGTGCTCAACAAGCCAGGTCGGGTGCCAATTTAGGCCAAATTTTTGGCAATTTCTCACTCATCATAGGCACACTTTTTGGTTCTGACCAACTGACCATGGCTGAAGCTCAACCAGAACCCCAGAACCGACCAGAACCCAGGGGCGCGAATTGCCAGCCATCGTTTTTGGCGGCGCAAGCAGCAATGGCCTCGGGCCAAATGACCGGTCCACTCTTCGAAGTGGGATTTAGCCTGGAAAATTACCACTTGTAGGTGGGTCATCATAAATCATCAACAGGTCATCTTGCCATGGCATTTTATCGTGTACGGCAATCTTGGATTTGGTCGATCACAGGATCATATATAGTTCCACCGGTTCTTTTCCGCGGCGGTGTTCGAACATGTTTGTCCCTCATTAACTTTCAGCTGTTGGAAAACACAGAGTTTTTACATATTGTTCTCTTGGAATCTTGAAAAAGTATCTGACATCTGGTTGTGATTTTTGCTTTGAATGTGCCTTTGGATGAAATCTAGGATCTAGGTGTTTTTCAAATATAACAGAGTATTGAAACCCCCGCGAAAATGTATCATTCTTGCAAATCGTCACATTATTGGATGTTCCAAGCGCGCATTTCTCTACTTCTCATCTTTGCATGTCTGCAACAGCTCGACATAGTTTCTTTCCGGGAGTTGGAATGCCTTCGCCGTTGCCACTGTTGCAAGGCTGTGCATATGTTTGAAAGTTAATTGAGAAAGTTAGTAGCGTAGCATCAATTGCATACACAATGGCAAAGAACCGTCAATAGCCCTGCCTCCACCCCCTCGCCATAAAAAAGGCCCAACACCCCAAAAGAAGCACCCGTATCATCAACGAAACATGCTGAACCGTGAGCGCGGTGCGCGGTTTTCACCCTGCAAGGGGGAATACTTGCAGGAATCAACGTGTCTAAACATCTCTGAACCATGAAATACTAGGGGCAATTCACCCTGAATTTGAACCAGTTGCCGAATTCATCAGGATGATGTTGGGTTCCAGAGTCTCTTGCAGCAACCACAGAGCCTGGCCGCAACGCGGAAAGGCATGTGGTGCCTCAGCGCCTTATCCCCACTCTTGGAAGGATCTGAGTTGCTTTCAGGCCCCAATTTTTGTGAGTCAAGTGATGCAAAAATTGGGGCCACATTCCTGACCCAACGCAGAGGGCAGGTACCTCTAAATTGATTGGATGATTAGATGACTACGACGCGGATTGGGAAATGTTATGCTGGATATCAATCAACAAGCGTCGTTTCAATTTCTCCTGGGTTGGCTACATCCCTCATGTTTGTTGGTTATATCAATATTTTCAGCTGGTTAAGATCCCTCTTTTCCACCCGCCCATTTTTGCCTGCTTCAAAGTCACTTTGATAGCACTGACTACATCCTACTGATGAAATCAAGCATTTTCATGGCGCCCCTCAGATATAAATTAAATAAACTGGTTTATGAACCCATGCAACTATAGTTATAATCACAATGCACCCCAGTTATTGAAGATATAAACCTATTTAGCTAATGATTTGAGACACCAAAATCCATTGTTCAGTGCTTTGCCCACAATTTTCCCATTGTTAAGCCAACACATATTTTTCCAAACATTGTATATGTATATATATATATGTATACATACACATCCCATCCCCCCACTATTCAAGACCATTCTATGGTCTGAACTATGTGGTTTCATCCCCGAGTAAACCGGCAGGTGACTCCGGCAAGTGTTTTTATTGGTTGTATCCCCATGGGATCACATTTAACTAACGCTATCTTAACCTAATCCAACCAAATATAATCTATCTTAGATACTAACAGAGTATATATATATAATATTTCTAGGTAAATCGATAATAATTCACTAACCTGGAGAGTTCGTCTATAGTGGGAAAGAACCCCTAAAATCAACCATCGTTGTAGTGACGGAGAACAGAGATGTCGTTATAATTTATCCACATATACATATATAGGTTTCCATAAATGGGGGTACCCCAAAATTGACGGTTTATAATGTAAAATCCGAAAATAAAATGGATGATGTAGGGGTACCCCCATTTTAGGAAACCTCCATATATTCATTTTTTAATGGTTTCTTGTATTCACATATTCATTTTCATGTTTTCACCTATATATATATATACACACACGCATATCTATCTATATATGTGTATCCATATATATGTATATATATATATATATGGCAGTGTGTCAAAACCTTGTACCCCTGTAGTTCACATCAAAATAGCTGGGATTTATGGATGTGAATAACCCCCTAAAAATGCTATTAATAGGTATTGATCCATACCCATATATATATATATATATAGATAATACATATATTAGATACCAATAGATGCTATCCCGGTAGCGCCGGTACCCCCGGAAAAAACCGCGACCTCCTGCCAGCGTCCGCAGCGTTGGCAGGCGCTCAAGGCTGCGCCGAAACTGATGCTGCTGGGCTGCAGATCTGCGCCAGATGAATAACATGGAGTAACCCCAGGGAATATGATAATATAATGGTATATATATATGGATATATATATATATATATCCATATATGGTATATATATATATATGTATTTATATATATATATCCATTATATATCTATTATCTATCCATATATGTTAATTATAATCTTATACATGATGATAGGTAATATGATATTAGATAATGGATATGGGACATTAATATGATAGTTAATTGTAAACATCATGAACTTCTACACTACCCCGGGCCGTACTACCCTACAAAAATATTAAGGATTTGACCATTTGTGGATTCCTTATTAGCATGCTAATAAGATATTATTAGTATGCTAATAAGGAAAAAATCTCATTCTGGGATACAACCCTTAAATGTATCCTATTAGCATACTAATAATATGCTAATAGTAGCTTAAAATTAGATAGTAATTAAGGACTAAAATCCATTACGTGTGATTTTGTATCCAATTCCTTATTTGTATACTAATCCGGTCTACATTAAGAAAAGTGCCTTTTTTCTTATTAGTATCCTAACAAGGATTTGTATCCCCAAATCATACAAAAACTTAATAGTATGCTATTAAGGCAATTTGCATCCTTATTAGTATACTAATAAGTTTTTGTATCCAAGCCGGGCCCTGGGGGATACAAAAAATTAATAGACACCTAATAAGGCAAAAGTGTTATCCCTTCAAATCCTTATTAGGGCACTAATAAGTTTTTGTATCCAAGCCCGGCCCTGGGGGAGACAAAAAATTAATAGACACCTAATAAGGCAAATTGTTATGCCTTTAAATCCTTATTAGGGCGCTAATAAGTTTTTGTATCCAAACACTATATCATGGGATACAAAAAAAGTACAATTACCTAATTGGCCTCTAATAAGGAGCAATTGTGGATGTTATCCCTTCCAATACTTATTAGGGAACTATTAAGTTTTTGTATCCAAACACTATATGACCATCCCTTGTCTTTGCCATGAATCAAACGCTGTCACAGGAATGAAAGAAGCATCATAGGGCAGAACCTTGGAGTCATTGATGGTTTTCTCAATCACTGAGAGTGTCATCTCTGCAGTGTAGATTCCAGAGCAAGAGCTGGATACATACCGTGTGCTTCTGAGCAGACTGGCCTCCCAGTGGCCATGCATGAAAATAAAATGTGAAAAAAAAAGGCCATGCATGAAAAGTAAAATGTTAAAAAAAATACAGTGTTACTACCTTTATTTTTTCCATCTACCAACCAGAAACGTTACATTTTCCCATTGTTACTCCCATTCTGCCTCCCTGATGTACTACCCGCTGAATGTTTTAAACCTCATTGTGGATTGAATTAATGGATAGAAATCTCATTTTTTCATTTTTTTGACAAAAAATGGTTTGAAAAAAAAAACTTCAAAATTTCATTCCAATACCTTGAAAATGATCCACTGAATGTTTTAAACCTCATTGTGGATTGAATTTATGGATAGAAATCTCATTTTTTCATTTTTTTTGACAAAAAATGGTTTGAAAAAAAACTTTCAAAATTTCATTCCAATACCTTGAGAATGAGCCACTGAATGTTTTAAACCTCATTGTGGATTGAATTAATGGATAGAAATCTCATTTTTTCATTTTTTTTGACAAAAAATGGTTTGAAAAAAAAAACTTCAAAATTTCATTCCAATACCTTGAAAATGATCCACTGAATGTTTGAAACCTCATTGTGGATTGAATTAATGGATAGAAATCTCATTTTTTCATTTTTTTTGACAAAAAATGGTTCGAAAAAAAAAACTTCAAAATTTCATTCCAATACCTTGAAAATGATCCACTGAATGTTTTAAACCTCATTGTGGATTGAATTAATGGATAGAAATCTCATTTTTTCATTTTTTTTTGACAAAAAATGGTTCGGAAAAAAAAAACTTCAAAATTTCATTCCAATACCTTGAAAATGATCCACTGAATGTTTTAAAACTGATTGTGGACATAATCTATGGATAGTTTTTTTTTTGAAGTATCAAATTATTCAGTAAATATGTACAATTTTAACATTTCAATGTGTTTGTCAAAAGCAACTTTTTCTAGTTTACAAACCATAAAAGTGACATTTCTCATTTTGCATCATTTTCCCGTTGTGGTTCTCCCGTTGTGTCTCCCTGTTGTGCTCTGCCGAGAGCCTGCCAGGAGGACATGTC